CAGAGGTGAAAGGTGCTTGCTCATATAGAACTCTATACCCCCAGTCGACAGCAGGTGGCTCATAACAAATCCTACCCTGTCTTGGACAGTGATCTTCAGATGTGCATTCACTGTACCCTGTACTGAACAGTGATCCTGGGATGTATTTTCCACTTTTGAAGTTGTGGAGAAAGCATGACTAAGACTGAGGCCCCTCAGCCCCACTCACCTTCCCTTTAATTTCCTGTGATTCAATCATTAAAGGGTAAGTGCTCACCGTACCTTTCAGGTCCTAGACTTCAGCTCTGGTTCACTCTAATTGCATCAGAGGTTCAGTTTTTCTCCTCCTTAGCTACTGTTCTTTTTAGTAGTGGGGTCAATATTAACTCTAGGGCAAGGAGAGACTGGCACTTCATGTAGGCCAAAACCTCTCACACACACACCCTTTCCTCTACCACCCTTTATTGTACTGCCTCAGACCTGCTTTAGATCACTCCCAGCTCCAGACTGCATTCCATCCATGCTCCAGATGTGTGTGGCTGTGCTGCACACCTCCCTGAATAACCAGGCGGTGCCACTGTAGAAAGCCAAGAGCCCCTGGCTGTCCAGGGTGCCTGGACACAGACACCTCCCTGTGGTCATACTAGCTCTGTGACCTCAGATACATTGTGTAATTCCAAAGCCAGGATTTCCTCATTTAGAATAAAAATACCCTCATCGCATCCTCCCTTCGGGACTTGGCCTCTGCTCGTGTGAATTAGGGTTACTACAGCTTGATTGTCCCCACTGCTGGCCCAGCCTCCAGGAGCAAGGGCTTTGTTACACTCACCTCTGCACCCGGGCTTCGGGTACATCGTTCCCAGCACCTCACTCATCAATCCATTCCTCCTCCAGAGGTTCAATGAGTCAAGTTCCAAGCACCAAAACATAATTGAACTCTATGGTTTCACATCAACGGATCATAAGCCAAACGGATTTCCTTCCTGCTTAGATGGAAGCCAGTAATAGCCCTGGAACTTCTCACCCATTCCAACAACTGCGTGAGATCCTAGGGGAGGGTTTCCCTATGACTGGATACTTACAGGCCAGGAGCCCCGCACTTTGGTGCGTGAGCTTGGCAGTTCCCGTGGGGACCCTCCCAACAAAGCGCACGATGGACCACCACTGGCTGGTTCCAGCGTGACTGCCCAGGACGGCGCCAGGCCTGGGGTGACAAGAAAAGGGGGGAAAGTTCTGATGATTCTGCACAATGTCAATAGAAAGTACCGGTTTGTCTGTGCACACGCCTGTGTTAGAGCAGCACTGCCGGGGGAGGGGTTCCCGCCGCCCGGGTGTCTTCACCCCTCCACTTGTGCTTTTCCCCTGGCCACAGCTCCAGCTTTACTCGGGCGGATGGTGGACGCGTGTGGGCGTGGTCGAGCCCCTCCTGGAGAGCTCCAGGAAGATCAGAAAGCCTGCGTGCCTCCAGAAGCTTCCAGGCCGGCCGGGCTCGGGCTGGCCTCCGCCTCCTTCCCGCCGGGGCGGGGGGGGGGGG